TTTAGCAATGTAATTTTCCAACTGTATAAGCACCACAAAACAAATAAATTGTTCAACTTTTTGGAAGGAGACAAAACTCCTGAACATTAAGGAATGTGAAAAAATGTGTTTGTTATTTTTGGGGTAAAATAACCCCTTAAATTCAGCCCCTTAATCTGATTTGAAAAATGCTCATTTACCACACGGGTCGTCCTTTTTTCACTGTGCCTGTCTCCTTTACATCTCCTTCTACTTCCCCGCTTTCTTTTCAGGCCCGAGAACAATTGTGAAACACATGTGTGTCGAGATTAAAGGGAGAACGTGGGGCTCCATTGATTCGTGAAGCTGCGGGATGTCCAGTTGTGCCTCAGATCCGGTCTGTTTACATCTCATTCACTGCAAGCCACTTCTGGTCTCAAAGAGAGAAAAAGCACCCTTCCCATGTTCTGTTATTCAGCCAGGCTGCGTGTACCCTATAGCATCTGCGCCTCGAGTATACGATTGTTTCAGGTCTGTGTTTGTGAAAGGGCCCCGGGGCCGGTCCATGGTGACACACCACCCAGCTGCCAAGTCAGATTGTAGTAAATGCCGAAACTTAGGAAGCCGAGTCACAATGGCATCGGGAGAAGGAGGCCCCTCGAGACAAAACCCATCGTGCCTGCAGATGCTGCTTGTTGCTCGGGCAGCTGGATAACAAACTGCCACAACGTGGGAATCTCTGCAGACGGAGAAACGGGGGAGACATCGATTAGATTGCCGTGTCTCGTCACCATCCAATTAAGGAAAAGCCCCTTTACCTTTTTTAAAAGGCCCTTTCCCCCACCACAGTCTGGAGAAATTATAGGAGAGGTCCTTCTTAGAAAGTTGAGATGTTCCATGTTTTTTCAGATAAACCCTTTACCTTTGAACACTTCTATATTGTTTCCCTTTATTCTTTGAGGCAAACGATATGTGATTTGCATATACATATTCTGTGTTAGTGCCATCGACGTGACAAACATGCATCTGTTTTGCTTTTATTAGCTCTCTTGATCGGCCAGGTGTGCAGCACGTCTGTCTTTAAGGGTTCTCAGCATCGCTGGATGAATAAATGAGACGTATATGCTGGGCACCCATGTCACTGAAATGTGGAAGTTAATGGCTGTCATTCTATTGACTGGCCTGCCAAGCCTTGTTAAACCAACAGGCAGCTTTTTCCGAGACCAAAGCCTACATCGCATCCTTTTATGCCAACAACAAACCTCCTTCCTCCCCTGCAGCTATTTATCTACCTCTCAATTCATGTCACCTTTCATTTCTCGCTATTGTTTTCAGCTGTCTTCTTGCCTGACCCCCTGTCTCCCTTGAAGGGTGCCTGTGGATTTTCTGGCAGCTTGCCGTGTTTTCTTTCATGCCACAATTCGATGATTGGCCTTTAGCTCTCTCTGAAGCATCCCTGCATCTCTCTAAACATCCTGGGCAACATTAAAGACCACGCATTAAAGCGGGCTGAGAAGCAATGTGTTTCAAGCATGGTCTCTCCTTTCCTCTGTCCCCTTTTCTTCAGGGGTCCTGTTTCGTTGCAGCAACGCTGACATAGAGAAGGAATCGCGTCGTGGGGGGGGTGGCAAGGAGGCAGCTTCTCTCCCTGCGTTTGTGTCCATCACGTGTCACGGCCGCTCTGGCCTTTCATGTTCTGTCCGGCTGAGCCTCCTGCTCCGGCCGCCTGTTTCCTCGCCGAAAAATCGGTGTCCCTCAGAGGCAACGAGACGCTCTCTCCTCCGCATCCATTTCAGCTCAGTTCAGCGCAGCTGGGCTCTGCTCTCACCTTGGTGACACCAGCTCCTCCGCAGACACCTCCTCCCTGCATGGGCCCGGCTGGCTGACGGGCAGCTGTCCGTATGGATAAAGCCGGTGGAGGACACACACTGTACTCTGAATCACCATCACTGCCTACCTTTCTAACACCTTTGCCATTGCAAACTCTATGATTTGGATACTCCCCCTTAAGGCATCTCACGCTACACTAGAAACAAAAAGCATTACCTTAAGTGAAGGTGACTACGGTTGTATTTTGCATTGCAATGATCAAAGTAAACACAGAGTAAACTCTTCCGTGGTGATGTTTTTTTTCCTTACATAGAAAGTGCAGCTAATTGTTGACCCTGATAAAAGTGACTTTGACTGCAACACTTGAGGAGCAGTCCACGTTTGAAGGGAAATTCTGCGGCTTGGGCTCAAAACAAGCCGGTGGCTGATGAAGACAAATGTGCAAACACATGTTGGCAGAATTGCTTTTTTGGTCGAGCGTGATCGGCTATGCTCAGGAGGGCGGAACCAGGGGTTGTGATTTATAGTTTTGTGCTGTCCCTGGACCACCACTGTCTGCTACCTCCCACTGCTGTAATTACCATGTGTGTCTATTAGAGTAGCCCTGCTGCCCACAGTGCACGGAGGAGAGGAGAGTCGACGCACAGAGATCGTCTTGTTATTCAAACAGTGTTCTCTTCAGAAGCATGACATGGAGGACGGTAGGTGAGCAAAAAGATACTGCGGATGATGTGATGAAGGTCAAAAAGAGCAATGCTCAAAGGTGGGTGGGTATATTGAGCTACGACAGGCATCATCTTTAACTACAACGTAACTTTCTTTGAATGATGTAGGCCGCAATCCATCTTATTTACCATACATATCTACATCCATTTACATCAAATGCTGTTGATTTGTTTTACATAATATAACCTACATATAATCTGCATCCACTAAACCACTCTGAAGTCTGTTTTTAACTGAAGTCTGCTGGTGAGGATTCAGTTTGCTTTGCCTTGGGCCTTATAGCATCTCCTAGTGGGCAAACTGCCTGCTGTTTTCAGTCCAAAGAAAATCAATACTTGAATAATATGATTCAGTCAATAATTTAAGTTACCTTGACAAATAAGAGAACTTGACATGTTTGAGTTTGTTTTTTAAGTTACATTTCTCTACAGGGTTTCCGTTAGTTAACTTTCCCTTTGCTGTTTCATAATCAGTCCGTGCCCACAAACTTTGTCAAAACATTTGTATTAATCTGCATCCATAACGGTTTTGTTGAAAGCCGTTGAGAACTATTTTACATAAAGTAACTAGATTTGTTTTCTTACTGAAATGAATCACTTCGGTTACTGCTACGTAAAAAAGGAAATGTTTCGCCGTTTCTCTTCTTCATGAGAGCTCTGAAGCGATAATGAGACCTGGCACTGAGCTCTGGCCACTGTCATCTATGCCGTAATTGGCCTAAGGGTGTAAAGGGCAGCCATGCATCAGAGAAGACAGAGAACTAAGTGGCTTACAATAACTGGACTGAGAGAAGAAAATACAAGTAGAGGGCTTGCATCACAAAGTGAAGAGTTTATGAGCTGGTTTATTAAACTACGTGCATTATAGCTACGAAGACACACGGTGATTAGTACACAGATAAATGAATGCGAGCATGATGAATGAATGAATGAACGGTAACTGTCGCGGTTGATTCAAGCAGCACGTGTATGTTTGAGGCTACGCAGAGGATGCTGTTTACAGTGATGGCGTAGATCATTAGAGAAATAACTGTGGTCTCAATTGATTTCTGTGACCATGAGCTCAAGTGGTTCAGGCTGAATGTGTGAGACATTGATTTGTATGGATTATTAAAGGTATGAGTATTTTACAGAGGGACGTGAAAGCAGGATTACTGGGAAATAGAGGTATTGATTGGGGCAACAAGCTAAGGCTTATATTTCAAATTTCACCAGGGAGACATGATTTGACATTAAAAAAAACACTCTGATGGGTCATAAATTCCATTGTTGTGTGTTTACAATAATTCAAAATACTCATTTTATGTCATCAGAAAATGTGACTGATAAATAATGATTGTTGCTCTAAAGAAATAAGAATCCCAGAGTGTCTGTCTGTGTGCGGATGAGAGAAAGAAAAAAATAAGCAATTCAACAAATACTTTAAACATTAAAAACACTCAAATGTTATAAGAAACATTTACTAAACGAAGTACTACGTACCTGAGGAATCAGAATGGCCCATGGAAGGGTTTTATTGTTGTGTTTTATACTATAACACTTGAGATTTAAAGGCAAATTCCATATGAGGCCGAAATAAAAAATGGGGAGCCCCAGTATCTGCTATCACTCTCAAAATGATTGACTGCTCCTACCACAGGAATGAGGTCATTTTAAGTAAAGTCAGTCTGATGATGCTAAAGTAAACTTGCATCTGTAATCTTTCCATTCATAATGGTAAAAATTATCAAGATGGCTGAGGGGCTCAAATATCATGTGGAAACTAAAAATGTATTTGGCCCAACAGCACCAGCTTTCTTATAACTTTGCTAATAAAAAAAAAAAACATTAAATTGATGACTTTCTAAGCACCCTATGCATGTTGGGGCCCTTGGTAGTTATCTCCAATATTTCCCTCATTCGTTTAGCTCCTTCAGCCAGCGGCTGATTCTCCCCCGCTGTGTGAAGGAGAGGCACGCAGGTCCTTCCTGCCTGCTGCTGTCAGGCTGCACAACCAACTGTGCACCCAGTGAACCACAGAATCACCAAAGAACACTCAAATACATGTGCAATGAAGATCACAATGCGTAATAACCACTGTGATACACAGTGTGGACACACACATACCTTTATTTAGTTCCTAGTACATTTAGTTACTGTGTTTTTTTTCACTCCTTTTTTATTTTTGTTTATTATGCTGCTGCTCTTGTCTTGTTGTTTTTATTACCATGTATCTTGTGTGCACTGTCCGCTTTGCTGCCGCCATCCTGTGAATTTCCCCATTGGGGGACTAATAAAAGAATATCTTATCTTATTGCTTCACCACTGTAAACAACAATCAATCATATTCTATTAGATAACCCTGTGTTATATATGTAAGATATTCAAGATTTTTTTTTTTTGTAAATGTAAAGAAAACACGTGTATTTCCGTATTTGTGTCCAGTAGGTGGCGGTGTAGACACACGTTTCCCCTCGTGCACGTTGTGACGTTTGACATGTGACGTTAACCCGGAATCCGGAAGTCCAACGTTTCTTTTTTTGCTCTTTTTTTGTTGTTGCGTCGATACCTTCTGTGATACGCATTGCGGTCACACACATCCCGGTTGTCCAAACAACGCGAGTGACCCGCATCGCCGCTTCTTCTCCACCACAAGGTGATGTTCAGCATAAGGTGGTGTTCGGCATAAGGTGGTGTTCAGCGGCTTCCTCAGCTAACCGCTACCGCTGCGTCTGCGCACCCTGCGCCCGGGGAGCGAACCGTGACTCCGGCGGGAAGATGTGGTCCGGCCGGGAGGGATCGTGGACGTTCGTCGTACCCGCGGTGGCGACCTTGTTGTTGCTGGATGCCGTCGGTTACGTGCAGGCGAAGGTAAACACGATGACGTAATGAATGGTTTGGTAAACTTTGTGTACATTTTCTTATTTTTCCTGAGAAATGTCCCTTTTTGTGTCGGGCCCTTGTCTTTCCCCCATTAAACCTTTTATTTTGAGACCTGTTGTGTGTAACATGTGTCCCCCACATCATCACCACTGTACACAAGTTCAAAACCGTGTAAGACCTGCAGCTGTTTCACGTTTTAACAAATACAATATCTTTACATTGTGATTGAATATAAAATGTGATCAGGGTTAATGACCAAAGTAAATACTTGAATTGAGGGGGTGAATAGCCTAATTCTGTTTATCCAAACTAATTGAGGGTCAATATAATCAGAAAAAAAGTAATTGTTTCGGTCGTTGTTGGCAGGGTGAACATGAATGCAATCAGGAATCAGGATCAGGAAACATTTATTAGCCAAAATATGTCAAACATACAAGGAATTTGTCTTGGCGGTTAGTGCGCGACAGTAGACAGACAAGACAACAGTGCACAAGTAATAAAATAAAGTGGAATGAAATGCTAATGCAATGGGTTAGTAGAATAAGGCTAAGGCTATGGGTTAGTATAAAACAAGGGAATAAAGTTAAAAAAATTTAAATATTAAAAAGTTAAAAAGAAAAATATTAAGCATAAAGTGCACTAACGAACAAGTAACAGACAAGAGACAAAGTGACAAGTGACAAAGTGATGAATTGCAGTTAAAGTGGCATGTGCAGTATGAGGGGGAGTGACCGGTGGAGTGTTATGGTCAGGCAGTGGGGGATCGGGCTCTGTTGATGAGCCCGACTGCCGACGGGAAGAAACTGTTCGTGTGGCGGGAGGTCGTAGTCCTGATGGACCTCAGCCTCCTGCCAGATGGAAGGGGCACAAACAGTTTTTGTCCAGGGTGGGAGGGGTCGGCCACGACAATGCACCAGAACTTCCTACAAAATGTAAAGTTTGCTTCAAAAAATATTGTAAATAATGATTACTTTTTATATTTTTAATAATGCATAGAAAGGCCTAGTGCCATGGATAAAACATAGCATGAAAAAATGTTTAAGAAGCATTTAAGAAGGCACTGTTCGTTGTTACTCAATTTCTTTTCTAATTGCAGAACTTTGAGGATGTTCGCTGCAAGTGCATCTGCCCGCCGTACAGAAACATCACTGGCCACATATATAACAGAAATGTGTCTCAGAAGGATTGGTAAGCGAGACCCCTTTTTATTTAATAATTTTGTCACAGAGAAACATGATCAGAGTTGCCCTTCCATCCCGACTCTTTAATGTTTTGCAGTAATTGCCTCCATGTGGTGGAGCCCATGCCGGTGCCTGGCCACGACGTCGAAGCTTACTGCCTGTTGTGTGAGTGCAAGTACGAGGAACGAAGCAGCAACACCATCAAGGTACCACCAGCTGTCTTTGGGATTTTACTGACACCAACCACCATGCAGAACCTTTTATTTATCCTGAGGAAATGTGCTGCATAAAATAGGAAAAAGAATAAACTATGTGTTATTTTATTCCACAGAATATGAGACATTTATGATATTATTATATCCAAATTTTCATTTGGCGCATTTTTCTCAACGTATTGCTAAATCCTTCCTATTCTGTCCATCCAAGGTAACCATCATCATTTACCTCTCTGTGGTGGGTGCGCTGCTGCTCTATATGCTGTTCCTGCTGCTGGTCGACCCTCTCATCCGCAAACACGACGCCTACACCCAGCCACTGCACAATGAGGAGGACTCTGAGGTAACCACTCAGACGAATAACAAGTATAATGAAGCACACACCATCGGTGTGCGTAACATTTAGTGGCAATCGAGGGCTCCTGACCGAGCCCTGGGTCAAATATGTATTTTGCATGTGTTCAATCTTTGTTTTTGTGTATTCAGGAGATGCGTCCGCCCGTGGACAGTGCCGCTGCCAAAGCAAACACGGTGCTGGAGCGGGTTGAAGGAGCACAGCAGCGCTGGAAAAAGCAGGTCCAGGAACAACGCAAGACCGTTTTTGATCGCCACAAGATGCTTAGTTAAACTCCGCAGCTGACCTCAGGAGGTTTGGAATAGGTAACTTACCTGTGCTCATCGCTTTTACACTGTCACCAGCTGCACTGCTACTGACTTCTTTGTTAATGCTGTGTACTGCACCCAATCAATAAGTATTTCTTCACTCAGAAAACACTCCAAAGACATTGATCTAAGAAGCAGAGGATTTTTATTTTGTAAATGTAACATTTTAGGCGGAGTTGCAGTTGGAATGGCCTGGCTGCACACTGTTAACCGCTAGAAACCATCTTAATCTTTTAATTCATTTTCGGCAATTAGCAATGCGATAGATTTTGAATGGTTTAATTTAGTAAAAGACTGAATCATTTTGTAGCTTCTTCTTGATCATTTATCCTATTAGCTTTGTGGTAATTTGTTGTATAATTGAGCTGTTTTTCTTGTAGCATAATTTATAAAGTTCCCTCCCAATAGGAACACTTTGTGTATGTGAATGGTCCTTTAAGCTATTTGGGTTGAAAGAGTACCCTTCCTATGCTGTTGTTAAGCATAGCACATTTCCATGATATTAATTTATTTGTTAACTTTTAATATTTATTTGTTTCGCAATGCTTTCCGTAGTTACCTGGACATATTTTGCATAATTTGGACTAATAAGTAGTTCATGGATTATTAATGGGGTTTGTTATTTTAAAGCTTTGACGTTGCTACATTTACAAACCCAAATATGTGCCTTTTTCTTTTTCCCAAAGTCCAGCTCAAAACACAGATCCTAAATGTGAGCAATTCACAGTATATGAAATATTACAGGTATTTAGGTCTACTTTAATTACTTTCGATAGTGTTAGTGATTTGTCTGAATTAACCTTTATCTTGAATGTGGAAATTTATAAAAGGTTTGTTCTTTGAGGTTGGCATAAAATCACATTTTCTTTTGGAAAGTGTGAAAATACTTTCCCATGCAAAGAGAGAAATGGAAATTGGGGCAATTAACGGCGCTTTAAAGCTCTCCTCGGTGTAAAACCAGCTCTAACGCTGGATCATTTGATGAATCAGTAAAGCTGCTAATGGTGCAGTTGAGAGAAATGCCTCCACCCTCGTGTGTTTGATGCTCCATCGGGGAATTCCCCGTTGCATCTTACTACTGAAGCTCCCTGACGGGGAACATTTAATAGAGCAACCTGGCTCACGTTCTCTCATGTTCTGTATTATCATTGGAGTTTATTTTTTCTTCACTGATTGATGTGTGTATACGTTCACATAGCTGTTGTTATAAATGTATTCAGTCTTGCTGGATTATTTCACTGCTCATGTCTATACAATCTGCTTGATGTGAAATAAAAAAAACAAAATCTGAACGCTTATTCTGTGTTGTTTGCGGCAGAAGTCCCTCCTATTCCTGATTGACAACAGGGGGTGACAGAGTCCACAGTAAGTGGGCCGGCACACATGGACTGTACACAAAGGTGTTTTGTATCCCCCATTTTGTCAAAAATACACAAACTATGTTGTACAAATGAGGGATATTGTGAACTACCGACAGGCCACGATTCTTTTGTCACTTATCTGACTAAGGATGGTATAGAAATGGTGAAGTAAAAAGGGTGGAGCATCCAGCATGGAGTCACGACAAGGCCAGATGCAGAATTAAGATGTTGAAGGTATTTGTCCTGTAACCACTCGGCCAGCTGGACACTCTTTGAATCTTAAAATAACAAAACCCAAAGTTGGAAGTTGGAAGTGTTATAAAAATGTCACAAAGGATTCAGATTTAAGAAAGTCCATCATGTGATTGATAGCCTGAGGTTCTGAGGTGCAAATATCCATGTGTATTTCTCTCCTCACAGTTTAAGGTCCAGCGTCCAGCAGCTGACTCTGACTTGAGAAGCTTCAGGAGGCCGATGGTGTTATTCTGCTACTGCGCGAGTTCCCTAAACAATGTTTTCTTGTCTGCCCACCGCCGCCCTGACCCGACCGCCCCTCGATCACATCTACCATCTTCTACCTTACACCACCCCCACACCCTCCGTAACCATCCCCAAGCATGGCCTGTCAGTGGCTCACAGTCTAAATTTAAACTACAGCAGGGCCAACTGCTCCTCCAGCCGCTCTGGGCTCCGGTTATTTCTCTGCCGAGGGGGTTTTTCTGTCAGAGGCCCTCAGCCAGGAGGAGAGGCCTGTGGCTCCGCGTGAGGGAGACAGTCAGAGGGAGAGAGGGGCAGGAGGGAGGCAAAGTAGGCGAACGGAAGGAGCGCACCCGGGATCAGCAGGTCTGGAACTCGGGGGGGCCTTCACGACGGGGAGATACAACAAGCCTCAATTTGGGATTATTCCGTACGAAGACCAAGTTCCACAGGACTGGGAGCTTTCCCCCGGGTCGAAGTGAAGATGGCGGCCAACGCAGACGACAAGCTGGTCATCATGAATGAAGAGGAGCTGAAGAGGAAGCAGAAGGAGAAGCTGAAGAAGTTGCAGGCCACAGGGGGCAACCCGCGGCCCGCCAGAACCCTCTTCCTCTTCGGCCTCAAGAATCCCTTCCGCAAGGCCTGCACCAGCATTGTGGAGTGGAAGTATCCTTTATACCGTACACACACACACACACACCTGCCTACACTACACACAGCTCACAGACCTTAGTCTCTATGATATTAAGTCGATATTGCCTTGAAATGGGTCCGTCAAATGGAAGTAGTTTACTCCGTATGCGTAACGCTCCAGGTGCTGACATGTACGACTCTACAAGGAACAGAAATGAAGCGTCTGCAGGCCTGATAATTACCGGCCGTGTTGCTCACCTGAAGCCAAGCGTTAAGGCGTCCCTGAAGTGTTAAGGCTTCTGTTATGTATTTGCCGGCTCAATATCAAAGTCTGATTTGTAGCCGTTGTATTTTCACCCCGGAGAGCTTCTTTCGTTCTATTTACATCTGGCAGACAATTAATGATTCCGCCTCTTAGTGTCCTGATGGCTGACATTCGGCCTTTAATGTGGAAACAGCGCCTCTGAAGTGCTTGAAGCCCGAGCTCGAGGCGGGCTGCTGAGTGATGTTATGGCTCCTACACGGGGATTCCTGCTTTTACCATTACTGTGTAATGCATATTTTACAACCAAATAGAAAGAACTAATCATATTTATCTATTCACAGCGCTAATATCACAAAAGGAGAGAAATGAGTGTGAGTTTCTGAACTTTACCTGCAGGTCATGAGTTACTAAAATCGTGCTGGTAGACTTAAATAACCATAAAATGCTCTATATCCTTAAATCTTTCTAATCGTACTTTGAAAATGCTGGATGCTCCATATATTAGGATGAATTCATATCCAATATAGAATGACTGAACTGTTTTTATTTCTTTTCTGATGAGTAGTCTGTGTTTAAATCCTTTGGTCATATTCTGGGGCCGTGCAGCTGTCCGGCCGCGTCACAGAGAGACATGATGCTGACCTGGCAGGGGAATTCTCTCAGAGAGCCCTCTACGGGCCACAATGAAGCAGCGCCGCAGACCGGGTTACATGTGCTGCCACTAACCCACCAGTTATAAAAGGGATGATATTTCAGGCATTTAGAGGCACTTATTAATATAATCAGTTTGATTTATTTAATTTGTTACATTACTCTCCAAAACACAGATAAAGAAATATATCATTTATTTTGTGAAGGTGTTTCCTAACCATCCGTGAACGGTATTCATAGGACATGTGTACAATTAACTCATCAGTACTCATGTTAGTTAACGTAAATTGTGTATCCCTTTGTGAAATGTTGTTGGTCCCTGTGCGTTTAGCGGCCCTCCTCGTGTGTTGTTGTAACAATCCTGAGTTTACCCTCCCAGAACCTTTGAGATCATCATCTTATTGACCATCTTTGCAAACTGCATCGCTTTGGCTGTGTTCCTGCCAATGCCTGAAGAAGACAGCAATAACACCAACATCAACCTGGTGAGTAAGAGTGTGAACACAAAGCCTCCCTTTGACGTGTGACTCAGACGCTGCGGCTTTCTAGATATGGAGAAGAAACTAAATATTTCCCTTATGGTCTCCAGGACTTTCCCATGAGCAGCGGATGACTGTGCAGCTGTGTTTAACTATGAGCCAACATATTTAGACACTTAAATATATGTATATATATTACACACATGCACATACACAAGGGATTCAGCTGGTCAATTCTTTTAGTGCCAACCCTTATTAGACACAACTCAGTTCTTAATTTAATCCCAGCTGTGTCGGCAGTGAAACATGTCATCTAACATGAGTTTATCATCCAGCTCAGAAACTGTATAAAACAAGATAATAGTACTAAATTATGAGAATTAAGTACCAATATGTGGGATTTTTATGACTGTGATATTTTTTACCTTTCCACCATGTAAAGATGTTAAGTACAGCAATGGCTCAGGATGTCTGTTTTTATACATTTATGAATTGAAATCCCAACTAATTTACTGTAATTTAAATGTGTTTAAACAATATTATTGTTACATCCGAGTGGATAACTTTTTAGTGTTTGCTTGGCTTTTAATTCTTTGCGAAACACAATAATTCAAGAAGTATTTGTTATGTCGTGTGTGAAAAGCAAACCAAGAAGCCCAAGGGGACTCCTCTCCCTCTAGATGGCATCTCATGAAATCGCTCATGTAAAGGAGAGAAAACTTTCCAGTGGCAGATGTTTGACCACGGCGTGCTGCTGATGTGTTTACAGCGGTTTATATTCTTTATTATATGCTTTGAGGAGGTGGATAGTGAATTCAAAGTGGCCCGGGGGTGGATTGCAAAGTCTACATGTGTTTAAGTGAGCAAAGGAATCATCTTTTGCTCTTGCAAAGTGCCGACAATTGCCAATGTCTACACATTTGAGGTTGTACTGACACTGGTGTTTTGATATCAAGGAGGAGCTCCACGAGCAGACGTTATATGCAGATTGCTGTCTGAGGGGCGTGTTTTTAACACATCCACACATCACTACGTTGCTATCCAGCTTATTGGCAGCTGAATTCAAGTCATCAGGTGTCTGAACCTGAAACTGACCCCATTTATTTGATACCTTTGCTTTGGCTCACTTACCAAACCGTCCTTCCTTCTCGCTGAGCCATTCCCCAGAGGTGAACGGTGTAAAAAGAGCCGTTCAACTCAACCCCCCTTATTGCTGTTACAAGTATGTCGGGCCGGTTAGTGTCCCTCCGTGACGCAGGTGGAACAAGGAGACCACATTCACTGTAAATAAGGGTTATCCACGTCTTATCCAATCCATGTATGTACTGTTGTTAATATCGTAGAATATTCTCATTGATTAAGGCTCGGCTACATCAGCCAAAAGTGATTAACCCACTTTGTTCAGAAGCATTTATGTTAAACTGTAGTTGTGACGAGATTCCCTGGGAGCTCTTCAGTAATATTCTCATATTACGGCCTCTTCTCTCACACAATCTGCATTTACTTCAGCAACGGAGAACTAAAGAAGTCGTGTGGATCTAATGATGATGAAGTCAGTGACTGAAGCCCCGTGTCTGTCTGCTGTTTAAAATATCAACTTTGATGACAAATAACAGGTGTGGTGTCCCAATTGGCAAAACCACTATTTTGTTTGATATGCCTGATATTTATCTGTTTACAACCTAAACTAGAGATATTAAATACAGGGCAACGGTTTGCTTTGTCTTAAACTGCCAGACAAAGCTCACGGCAATCCTCTTTGTTTAAACCTCTTGAGCTTGTGATGTTTTATCTGCAATTAGCTCCGAGGCCTTTAAAGTTAATCAGTTAACGTCCACTATTCCCCGCTGCAGGTTCTTAAATACCAAAACAGTCCTTTTCTACATTCACTCGTTGCTTTACTTAAGAATTGAACCTACACGCTTTATGAAATGTAATTTCCAGGCGTGTGTTTGTCTCGCTGCAGGAGAGTTTGGAGTACATCTTCCTGATCATATTCACGCTGGAGTGCTTTCTGAAGATAGTGGCGTATGGTCTCGTGTTCCACGAAGGCGCCTATTTACGTAACTGTTGGAACATATTGGACTTTGTCATCGTCTTCATGGGGTAAGATGAGCTCGGAGCTGCATGTGGATATATCTCTGCCACAGAGTTTAAACACATACGAATCCACCATGGACATTGTGTTGAACATTTAGTATCTAACATCCCAACTGGAATGTCGCACTGCTGAATACTCATACTTGTATTGTAGACGCTTATGGTTGTCTAATACTTCTCTTCAGCCTCTTCACCTTTGCCTTGGATACCATCAATAAGATAGCGGGTGTGCCAATGGAGAAGGGCGGCGGGTTTGACATGAAGGCGCTGAGAGCCTTCAGGGTGCTGCGGCCCTTGCGCCTCGTCTCTGGAGTCCCCAGTAGGAG